TTTCGACCCGTTGGACCGTTGTTTGAAGCATCCCTCGAAAGCAAGCATAGATTTATACAACCCGAACAGGCATGTATTCAGGCCCATTATCCGCCCATCCCCTCCCCGACAAGCAAAATCCTCACCCCATTCAAGCTCCAAATATGGCTCTGCTCTAACCGACGCGCTTCGGCAGGGACTGCAGTGCGGCGTATGCAAGCAGGCCGCTTGGCGACCAAAGCGATAGAAAGCTAAGGGTTCTCGGTTTGCTGGGTTGCTATCAAGGAACTTCAAATAAAGTAGCATACGGTTTCCCCAATATAGTAACTTAATTAATTTCCTGAACAGTAACCTAGTTTCAGGCCTTGTACGTCCTTCCCTTCTAGGCGTCCGTCCTACTTCTCACCCAGGGTTTGAGCAGGGCGCCAAGAGCGACTAAGATGCTGATAAGACCACGGTCCCAACCTAGACTTTCCAATGTAGTACCGTTTTGGTAGCCCTAATAAGAGTCCTAACCCAAAAACCATACCAAACCCAAAAGAGAGCTACATTGGAGGGTCTAGGAATGTCACCGGGGCCATGACACATAGTCAACCTATCCTTGGGATGATCTCGTATAGTACCTCATGTGTCCCACTCGTGATTATGAGGCCTACAGGCGGACTATTGATGGGATATATCACGATGCACAGGAGCAGAAGTTTGAGCTGTTCAGCAATGCTTAAGGTATCTCTTGCTTTCTTAGTAAACACCACCCTCCTCATACATGTTGCCTTATAATACACAATGGCAAGCATTTGCGACTCAGGGGTGGGGTGTTTTTGACTGCGGATTCAGTCGATTCAGGCCTCATGCTTGCTGAATATGGAACCACTTGTGGTGGGATTTTTCCGACCTTCCTCAAGTCGAAGACCTGAGAGGTCCTAGTACCAATGTTGTACATACTTGGGCCTATGGGGCAGTAATGTCAAGACATTAAGGGCCCAAGCTTATACTACGTGCATACTGCAACTAATAACGTTACCGCCTTCTCCGAAGCCCTTTTGTCTCAACCTTGCCCTGGGCCACAAGCGGGTCGCAGGGCAGGAGGATCCTTGGAGCTATATGAAAGCCATGGCGCAGATGCGCATGATCCTGGCTTGGCTGCTGCCGTATTGGGCGGTGGCCACCTGTGACCTAGATGGATCCTGCTACTTGCTGGTTCTTAAGCGGGAGGGGTGGGCGGTGAATATACTGTTGATGGATGAAATCTTGCACCACCTAGGGGCCCATGTAATTCCCAAGGTGCAAAGTTTCCTCCATCAACACTAATTAGGTAGCATACTAGCGGTATGTATATGGATAGTGTAGTTATTGCAGGATTTGCGGATCGCCTCGCCCACTTTTTTCTTAAGCGCCAGTAAGGCTATGCAGGCAAGGAGGCCGTGCATATGCTCCAATCCCGGGTGCAGTCTCTTGGACAGCAACCCTAATCCTAAACCTTTAACCTAGGGTTTGAGGTTTAGGGTTCGGTGTCTGGACAAAATCCTATGACCCGAATGCCCGAACTTGTTTAGGGAGATTGTTGGGCACTGCATGGAGATGCAACCCTAAACCCTAAACTGCGTGGAGATGGAAAGCGATTTGTAAGGTATCTACAGGGAACACAGAACCTCAAGCACCAGGATCCTCAGGGACCCCTGCTTCTGACACTTAACTGGGTTGCTGCTAAGGAAGTTAATTTAAGTTACTATACTGCGAAATTCTTTTTTACTATACATATATATATATATACACCTATGATGGTAACTGAATTTAAGAGTTCCTTAACAGCAAGCCAGTCATAAGAACAACAAGGTCTCACGTGGCTGCACATCGTCGTGTCGACCCAGATGTAGCGCTTTGCGAGGAGCTGCGCACAGCCACGTGGCCCACTGGGAGGGTGCTATGCGGAGGCGAGATTCTGGGTTGCTGTTAAGGAACTTAAATTAAGTTACTATATTGGGGAAACCCTATTATTTACTATATATACCCGTTAGTAACTTAATTTAAGTTCCTTAACTGCAACCCAGGATTCTGACCTATGGCTGGGACGTGTACAATGAGCAGTGTGCCAAGTTGACTCCACGATTCATCATGCAGCCAAAGACTACCGAAGATGTGCAGAAAGCAGTGAGATTTGCAAAGAACAACAACCTGAACATTTCCTTCCGTGGCCAGGGGCACACATACAACTGCGCTGCCTTCCAGCAGAACTCCCTAAATCTCGACCTCCGCACCATGGGCTCCACGGTAACGACCCGTAAGATTGGCGAGGATACCTTGGCAATCTTGAGCCCAGGATCCACGTTTCAGACCATCAAAGACACCATCTCCTCGCAATTATCCTTCACCCATGGCACTTGCCCTACTGTTGGAGTCATGGGCTTCCACCTGCATGGTGGTTGGGGTGCGACCACCGACACCTGGGCCAACGAGTCGATTGTGCAGATGGAGGTGGTAACTGCTGATGGGGCCTTGCATACTTTGAATGCCGAATCTTGGTCAGTTCAAAAAGGTTGTTGAATTTCTGTAGTTTTCCGTTCTTCTAACAGTTGCCATGCTTCTTTTTCCTGGACATTCGACTCGCAAGCCCTAAACCTTAAACCCTAAGCGAAGCCGTACACCCTTGCTTAGTAAGGAGAGTACGGGAGAAGAGGCTCAGCTGTGGAACGCGATGCGAGTTGCAGGCTCGGTTTAGGGTTTAGGATTTATATAGGGTTAGGGGTTTAGGATTTAGGGTTTAGGATTTAGAATTTAGGGTTTAGGATTTAGAGTTTGGGGTTTAGGGTTTAGGATTTAGGGCTTAGGCTTTAGGGTTTAGGATTATGGGTTTATGGTTTAGGGTTTAGGGTGTATGGTTTAGGGTTTAGGATTTAGGGTTTAGGATTTAGGGTTTAGGATTTAGGGTTTAGGGTTTATGGTTTAGGTTTGAGGATTTAGGGTTTAGGGTTCAGTTGCAGGCTCTAGCTTTGGCATTGTCACGGAGCTCACCATCCGCCTTTTCAACCGGCGTGAGAGGCGAGACGCGACGCCAGGGGTGTCCTGAAATGTGCTTTTGCTTACTATACTCAACCAACGCAGCTACACTTAGCTACATCTGTTTGCTCAAGTTCCAGGGCATGTGAGCTATGGTCTAAACTCCTAGCATCCCCCTTACAACCCCTATAATAAGCTTCTATATTAATATGATCCCCTATATGAACCCCTGTAAGGAGTTTAGACAATAGCTCATGTAGAGTATGTAGGAAACACCTAGAAAACTGGCATTGGCGTACAGGACAAAAAAAATGACAATGACGGCCTATCCGGCTGGCAGGGCAGTCTAACATTTGGGGTATAGTCCCCTTAAGTAGATAGAATATGGGGTACGTGGCTATCTTATTATAATATACCCAAAGCCATATTCTATCCACTTAGGGGGGGGATATACCATTTCAGGAGTCCCCATAATAGGGATCATAATCTTTTTGGGTCTGTTGGCGTGCCCTCATGCATGGAAACTAATTGCCAGATCCTGTGGTTTTCCAGCAGCTGTGTGTGTGTGTGTGTTTTATATATATATATGGCCTGCGTAGTTACCAACAGTATTAACTAACAATCCTTGTTTTGAAGTAGAATTTACCCTGAGGCCCTAGGCATGTTTGGTTTGTGACTTGGTGATCAGATATGATATTACTACTTGGTGTCGTTTCCCTTTTCAGGGAGGGGCCTCAGGGGGGTTCTGCTGCATGGACGGGCGACTTGCTTAAGGTTAAGGGTGTTGGGTGATTAAACTGTAGAATGTGTATAACAAATGCAAAATGAAGAATGCATCCGTGGATGTGCGACAGGCTCCCAAGCCAGCTTTCACGGAGATGATGAGAGCCTACTGGCAAGTGTTTTGCATGGAGTTCAAATCTTGTCATAGCCTCCAAGGCTCCATACTTACCGTGTACTAGAGGGGTGAGTTCAATATTGCGAAGAGCGCCTACCTAGCCAAAATTAGCGGTATGGAAGTTAGTTCAATGATCTTTGGGTTTGGTGTGCGTACAGGGTATTAACAGCGATCTTCCAAACGCCATTGCTCTTTCAGAGGTTTCTCAAGGCAACCGCATGAACTCCGTAGAGCCCCCGAGGGCCGCCGGCTTTAAGAAACCCCATTTGGCGAAGGCCATACTTGGTTCTTCCGGTGCTGAACGACTTTGACTTTCTCCTCTCCAAGGCTCAGGGAGCATTAGGAGGGACCTTCAGGCAGTTTAGGGTTATGCCCCAGGGTTATAGGTGCTTTTTTGCTGTCTTGCACTGTGCACGAACAATTTAGGTGCTGCATGGATGGCGGAAGAGCCGGCATTGTCGATTCCTGAATTCATACCTAGCAGCAGTAGGATAACATGCCCCAAAGTCCCAAAGCCAAATCATTATCATGGAGCCCTAAATCCTAAACCCTAAAATCCTAAACCCTAAAATCCTAAACCCCTAAACCCTAAACCCTCAACCAAACCATTGCGCTGCGAGGTACCGAATGGAGCGGCTTTTGGTTGGGTGGGCCTCGCACGTTGGGACAAAGTGTTCTACCCTCAAAGCACTGTTCTTGGGCATGGGTGGTCCCCCTGCTGTCTTTCAGCAAAAAAGAGGGTTTCACAAAATTAGGGGTACGATTTCGGGGGTCCCCATCAGAAGGATGATAGTATTTTGGGGTCTATACTCCGGTTTCCTTGTCTATGGGACCTACCATCATAGAGAGTCTACAGTTTATCTTCGCTGTGATGTACGACACGTGGATAGGCTGCCTAGATTAGCTTCATTATTCTGAGTCTGCATACTTTGGCTTCTAGTGAAATATAAGAGGAGATTCGATTCAACAGTTTGGGGAGTTCAACCTAGGAAAACTCCCACACGTAAGTTTTAGGGCTTGAGCAGAAACAGCAAAGTATTGCGCTTCGCAGTTCAGACCTTTTTCGAATCAACAACCGCCGCCCCACAAATTTGTTTGCCATTCCCGAGGATACTTCAAATTGTGCTAAACGATCTGTATCCTTGGACCTTGACATCAGCTTTGTCATGGGTGTTCTTCAATGGCATTCAGCTGGCTTTCTCGTACTTCGCTCAGATACCGCCCAACATACCAACCAATGCCGAGACATGGCTAAACGGCTTGCATCTTACTTAGCCAATAGAAGAGCTTTAACCTTTTTGGGCCTCTTTTTTGGGTCCCTAAACCCTTAACGCTATATGGTACTTTCCCAAAATAAGGGGACCCCAATATAGACCTCCCCAAAAACTATACTCCTTATTATGGGGACCCCCAAACCGCACCCCTAATTTTGTGAAACTCCCATATGAAGGCTCCTAAAAGGAGGGGGTTTGCCCTGGTTATTGGGGAAGAAAGGTATCCCTTCCAAGACTCTGCAGTCTTCACGCGCTTTTATCCGCTTAGTGACATTCGGGACAAGGCCAAATTGTCGCTGGGCTGCTGCTAAGGAGCTTGAGTTAAGTCACCATAATGGGTATGGGTATTTGGTGTTTAGGGTTACCATAATGGGTTTCCATGGTAGCTAATATGGTTTCCCGAATATGGTAACCTAAACTAAGTTCCTTAACAACAAACCAGGTTGGAAAGCTTCCTCTCACAGCACGTCGACAACTGCCGATATAATTTGGGCCACCTGGCCTGCGCTCGAAAGCGTTTTTGGCGACTGCGCACTGTAACCCCAGAGACCCCAGTACCCCTTAATTAAGGAACCTACCCCTAAACGTACTAGGGTCCCTAATATGATTTGAGCTATATTCCTGAATGAAGGGGTATTGGGCTTCCTGGGACCCTAAACCCTAAACCCTAAACCCTTTCTGAAGCCCTTGGATCTTGCAGCGCCCAAAAACAATAGTTATGTTATGTTCTAGAAGCGCAGGTGCCAATCCTTAGCCCCCGAAAACCTATAGGAACCCGAAGCTCTCAACGTACACCTGGACTTGGGGACACCCCTCAACAAGGCAGTTGCCAGGTGGGTACACCTTCATATGGCTCATATAAGGCTAGTATCAGGGTAATGGGTCATGGGTCTATATGGCACGTGTCTAGGCCTTCTTTCAGGGTACCCACCTGATAGCTACCCACTTGGGGGGGTCCCTAAACCATGTGCCCGGAATCGCAAACCGTAAACTCTACACGCCAGATGAGCTTTAGTCTAAACTCCTAGTATCCCTCTGAATAACCCTTACAATACTCCCCATATAATCCCCTACATAACCCCTTCAAGGAGTTTAGACTACACGCGATATTTAAACCCTGGATAAGATCCAGGTCCCCTTCAAGGAGAATCTGCGCGACTGCCTTTGGTCACAGTGGAGTGTAACACTCTGCAGACGGCCGCCTTGTTGAAGGACTTTGTGCCTAGGCTTCACAACGTAAACACAGATTGCCAAGAGTTAGGAGTCTCTGCTTCGGGCTAAACCTTGAACCTGCTTGGGGGTACCTACAACCATGAAAAGAGTGATTTGTGGTGTTTGGCACCCTAAACCCTAAACCCTAGGAGGACCCAGATCCTGCAAATAACGCGCTTAGGGGTGGGGGCTTATTGGGATTCTAGGCCTTCTTACTTAATCGAGTTTAGGGTTAAGGGTTTAGGGCTTCTTTAGTTGTTAAGGAGATTCCCGCATGTTTTGTTTTGGAGCGGCTACTGCCGCAGTGCAAACGCGAAAGTTTTTTTGCCCACGGCAAAACTTTCTGATCTAAGCTGTAGCTCTCAGGCCAACTGCTTGCACCAAAGCAGTCCGATCCTTATTATTGAGACACCCAAAAACCGTCCCTGTTCTGGAGAAACGCAGCCCTAAGCCCTAAAATCCTAATTGTAGTCTCCTAAGGATTTTTATTATAGTATATCAGTATAAGTCTAATGACTTCATTATATTATAGATCTAAGGGGGCTACAGATAAACCCTCTCATCCCGATAGCCCATTTAAGATCTGCGCCATGGCCATAACCAGCTGAACGCCGCAAGCCTAAAACCACATATATATATATATATATGTATGAATACGGTTTTGAATATATATATATATAGATATGCATATATATATATAGATCCCTGGAGTATCTCGACATGACCCCATGCACCAAGCCCCGAAAGCGCATGTAGAAGCCTGATTAATTCAATAGCCATATGAGCTGTAGTCTAAACTCCTTAAAGGGGGTTACTCAGGGGATTATTTAGGGGAGTACTGTAGGAGTTATTCAGGGGGATAATGGGTGTTTGTTATCGCCTGTGTATAAGTCAAATGAAGTACAATCTACCCGCAACGCCTTTTCTGAAAATCTCAGCTCCTGTAGAAATTGAACTTAAACCCTAAACTCTAAACCCTACACCAAAACCCTAAACCCTAAACCTTAAACCCTAAACACTTCATAGAGTTTTCAGGTGCGACAGAACAGCGCAGTCCTTCTCCCTGACAAGCCGGGGTCTGGCTATATCAACCTCCCCCTGGATGACACAAGCACCTTTGGCTTTTTTGATCCTTACCCAGAGAGCCCACTACCCCTCAATTAAGGATTTACCCTAAAAGGTACACTAAGGTCCCTAATATGAATGAGGCCATATTCCTCCCTAAACCCTCAACCTTAATCAAGGGGTCATTAAATCCCCTGAGTCCCTGAGCCCTACACCCTAAATAATGGATTCCATTTTTCTGTTTTCCGTTGTCCTTATACAACCCCTAATATGAATTACGCTATATTCCTTAAGTAAGGGGTATTGGCCTCCCTTGGGTAAGGGTGGGGGAGTGAATATTGTCAATTTTAGGTTTAGGGTTTTGGGTTTAGGGTTTAGGGTTGCAGATGAGAGACTACATTGGGGTAGTCACCGGGATCCGCTCTTCCGCATCCCTGATAGCATAGCACTTGGGGGTTCCGACGTAGGCAGAAACGTATCATGGATTGGGCTTCAGCTATGACACCGAATATGAACAGGATTCTGGGGGATTCCTCCATCCACAATAGGGGAATGAAATAGAGCTGTTTCACTGCATGGATTTTCCTTTGGCTGTTACGACTGTAAGGCGTTTTTGATTGAGTTGCAACGTGTCACCATTTGAGGGTTTCCTCCAGTACGTAGCTCCAAGAAGCCGATTTTGGTAAGAAGGGGTTCCTACGGCAAACAGCTTGGCGCCCTTGAGATATTTAAGCCCGGCTGTAGGAGTCATTTTTTCGGCAACCCTGAACCCTAAAATCTAAATCAGCTACTGTAGGTACTTATCGGGAAGCGTACTTCCCCCAGTATGACGAGCTGGCCGCCATCAAGTGCCTGTGGGATCCCAGTGATCTCTTTTACAGTAGGGTTGGCATTCATCCGGAAGGTTGCTCCGGCTCATGAGTTTCTTTTAGGGTTGAGGGTTAGGAATGAAGGAATGGATGCTTGTAGTAGTACCCATATAGCCCATTATAGTAGATTTCATGTTCTTTTCCATTCCGTCATTCCCGGCTAAACCAAAGGCAAGGAGTTTGTGGCTCTAGTTTTCAGGCTAAGCGAGCGTAAGGCGTTCCTTTTGGTTTCAGGGGTGTGCCCCGGAGGCCCACCCCTGCGGGGTTTATTAAGAAGGATATTTCGAGTTTAGACTATAGCTCACATGGACCGCATATTCCCTTTGGCGTATCTAGAGGCAAGGGATTGAGCTGTGAGGTTTTGGGTTCAGGATTCGGATTCAGGGTTCAAGCAGTATCGTGGACGGATCCAGCACACGACTGGCAAAGGAGTCCACGTCTATGCGTAGGCTCAAAGCCGCCTGCGTCATTTGGATATTCCTTTTGGCCCTGGATTCGAGGCTGCAAAACTGGGTTGCTGTTAAGGAACTTGATTTAAGTTACTACATTGGGGAAACCCTATTGTTACTATATGTATGAATACATAGATGTAAAGAAATAGATATCTTTTTATATATAGATACCCATCAGGGTAACTTAGTTTAAGCTCCTTAACAGCAACCCAGAAAATTGGGTGGGGGGGAGGCGTTTTGCATCGAGCGCTAGATGATAGGAAGATCAAGGGATACGGCAAGCCTTACCAATGGGATTACATAGCGGTAATACAGGGATCATAAAGGGGGTATATGGGGATTGTATCGGGGCTATTTTGGGGTCATATAGGGATACTGGAGGAAAAATGGAAAGTACTATTTAGGTGTATAGATAAGGGCACTTGAATCCAGCTGGGGACGAGGTAGGTTGCAGGGAGTAGGGTGGAAATCTTCGCGGCGGCTTCTTTCTTCTAAGCTGTGGATTGCACCTACAACCTATAGTTCCCCTTAAGTAGATAGTATATGAGTATATGGGTATATAGGGATCTTTATCATAGTATACCCGAAGCCATATTCTATATCTACTTAAGGGGGCCTATAAACGCTACACCCCTTGAAAGCCACCAACCCGAACCCTAGAAAGCCTGCCTGTGAGCCCTAAGCCCTAGAAACAATAAACCCTGTAGACATTTAAGCCTGTAGATCCTTAACCCAAGCCCTAAGTCCGGACCCTGAGACTCAAAGCCTGGGCCACAAAGCCAGCCTCAGCACGCATGCACCGAGCTTTGTAGGTTATTTCCAAGGCCCCCTCCTTGCTGGTTTGGAGGGAAAGGAGGAATAGATCCCTACAGTAGTATTTGTATATTCCCCAGCCATGTCGGAATGTAGCAGTGTTTTCCAGTAGCTCTCCCTTCGTTCTCTGCCAACCGTCTGCAAGTCTGTGTGGCAGACACCCAGAAGGCTTTCAGCGGACGTGCAGCTGCCCTCCTGACAGAGAGGCAGGGACCTGAAAAACATGAAGTGGGTAGTATTTTATTTGGGGGTACTGTGGTACCCAATATAGAGTAAGATTCTATCCTCCCTTTGGGGTATAGTATTTTATATAGGGAACATAATCTTACTGGGTTTAACCACCAAAAAAATCATACGAAGCCAGACACTCCCCCCCACACATACCCCCCCCCCAGTTCAGAGACCTGTCGTTTATTCTTGCAATGTAGCCAAAACCTTACAATGAGACTATCAGGCACTATTGGATGTTATTAGACACGATTATCTTCCAATAGGTTCTGGGGAGTGCCCCGGCTATCGGAAACTATTAATTCTTATTAGACGCTATTTGCCTCTATTGGACAAAGCCAAATCCTTGGAAAACCCCACGTCCACTAACCCTTATCTGCCATTGCCCAGGTCCCTGAGTGCTCACCGCCGCAAGTGACTCATGGATAGGTTTTGGAGCCATATTGCATTGTTTCAAGATCTACTACAGTGTTCGCAGCTCATTCTCGGATAGAAGACAAAGACCTATTGTCTTGAGTCCTCATGTAGTCAAGTTAATGTAGCTTGATAAATTACGGGCGCCAGAATAGGGTTCATGGCATCCAGCGATGATGACGGTGCTGGAGATCATGATGTCATGCGAGGATGGCAATCTTCATGAATGAAAATATGGCCTCTCAGAACCTCCAGAAACTTTGCGAAAGCAACAACAGCTGCCCTGATATTCTGACATGTGTTCCACAGCGCATCCAAATTGGGTAAGGGCCTGAGGCTGGGTTGGAGGCTTCTGTGGACGCCCTGGAGGGCGGGGGTGGCTGGTGGGAAGGGGTCCACTAGGAGGTCTGGCCAGGGGATAGGGGGTCGGGTCTCATTTTGGCCTGGTCCGGGCTTCAGACCCTAAGCTAGGACCGGTCAGGGTCTAGGGTCGAAGCCCAGGGTGGAGCCTGAGCCTAGCCTGGCATGGACACATTTCGGATGCATGATTCGTCTCTGCTGACACCCGAAAAGGAAGGGAATCGGATAGGGTCTCAAGCCTGGGAGTTCCATGCACCCAGAACACTCAGGAGTCAGTAGGACACAAACTGGAGAATCTAGTTTTCCAT